ACAGAAGCGCTTAAGGTATTAAACTTTAACGCAAATCAATAGACAGCGACGCGAAGAATTGCCAAATTGAGCGCAAAGGCATCATAAAGAAGAAAAAGGCAAATTTGATCAAAATACATGTGCGAGTGTGGTAGCGTTTTGCTGCATCGCACGAAACCCGGACCGTTGCATATTGGGATATGTTAGGCCGTTCAGAATGCAATAAAAAAACATATTTTTAAGTTTCAATTGAAGGTTATTTGGTCTGACAAGACTAAATTAATCGCTTTCAATTAGATGGCCGGGCATGGTATTGGATCAAAGACCCAAATTAAGCCTAAGCGCATCATGTACTGCAAACTGTGCATCACAGTGGTAGGATCTTAATTGTTTGGGATTGTATTTCAAAAATTTTGTCGGTCCGTTAGTACGCATTATGCGTAAGGAACAGTATCTGTTCATATTTCAACAAAATTTGCAAGATGTGGTCGAAAAATGAGAGTTTCTGCTGAAAAATCACCCAAAACATGCTGCATATGTTCGTAAAGAGTGGATACAAAAGCAAAAATTTGCTAATTTGAAATGACCTCCACAAACAGCTGACATGAATCTCATCGAGAATTTGCGAAATCAACTAAAAGCACAGCTTAATAAGTATCAAAGTCCGTAAAATCGAGTGCATGAGCTGTGAAAGCAAACTAAGGATATACCTCCAGAATTTTTACAAAGATACAAATAAGGTATGCCAAATCACATCTAGGAACTGAAACAGGCAAAAGAGTACCGAACATTGTGTTAGTAGTTCTTTTTTTTCGTGAAAACTGTTAAAAAGCTCTTAAAAATATATGAGTGCAAAACTGTAACATCTGCCTTCATTTACATTTTTGTCTGCTGGTTTTTTTATTGTTGTTGTATTGACTTCAAATCATTATGAGAGAGGGAGTAGGGATGTACCAACAAGAATATACAGCAAGAGTATGAAAGTCGTTAGAACTTGGAAATATAGCGGTGGCTGAAACAAAAGGTGTTAAACCTTGTTACAGTTTTGCTCGTCACTGTATGTACGTACCCGAGCGTTTCCCGTGCACGTGTCGTGGGATGGCTGACGTTCATCCCGTGACGACCATTAGCGTTTCCTCATTTCCAGTAGACTTTTTGCATGACAAGCGAAGTAATTTTTTCGGTGACACCATTTTATAAACAAAAAACTTCCCATTTTAACTAAAAATCTTTCATCATATTTACGAGACCCAATTAACAGCGGGGAAGAAAATTCATGGAATTCGATTTCATTTGTTTTGCTGCTTGAACAAAGAAAATTGATATACCAAATGTAGACAGGAGGTTTGCGTATCGGTCGATATTATTTTAATCGGTATCTCTGAACGGTAATCCCGGGATTTCGAGCCATAGAAAATTGTCCGGGATCCCAGGATTTAATGCACCAGTGAACAGTAAGAGCTATATATAGCTTGTATGAATAGGAATTCTTATGGACGAAATATATGTATATTTAACCCCTTTATATGACATTACTACGATTTGAGCAAAAATTAGTGAAGTAAAACTTTTTCAGCCAGTTCCTAAAACTGATGTACAAAATTTACTAAGTATGTATATACCTACTAAGAACTTTTTATACAAGTATTAAGGTATTTATGTAGCAGTAAATAGTCAAGCACTTTTACGTATGTAAATTTTGTGGGTGTCACTAAATACCGAGTATGATAGTAGTTACATACATATTTTTCGAATACTGTTTTTTTTAATAAAAGCATTTACTTACGTATGTTATCATAAATATTTAAATACTAAATATAAAAATATTTAGTTACTTTTAGGAAATAACGCGTACGCATACAATATCTGGCTTCACTAAATACTTCATACAAAATTAATCCCCCGAAAATCGATACTATGTCCGAAAGTCTCGACATAGTATCAAAACCCCGAAAAGTCCTAAAAGATCGCGAAAAATATAACATGAAAAATCCTTTAAAAGAAAGTGTTAAAAAGGATCCTTAACAACTCCGAAAGCATGAAAAGTTTCGAAAAATTCCTAGCATCATGTAGCAGTTCATTATACAGTGAAACCCGCTTAAGTACCCCCCGCTTAAGTACCTAACACGTTTAAGTAACGAAAATTTTTGGGCACCGTGAATATTTTAATGTAATCTGAAGAAAACCCCTCTTTTAATTACCTCCCCTCTTATTTACCCAACCCGCCTAAGTACTTAAATTTTTCGTATCCCATTTTCCATTTTACTTATAATTTTCTCCTATTAAGTGCTGCCGCAACACGTTCGGCAAAAAAATTCTAAAAAATCAACGGTAATTTTTAGTCACTTGAAACTTGCAAATTAGTACACTAAAATGGAATGGGCTATAAATACTTCTGAGAAAAACGTTAGAAATTATGGTGAATTTTCTTTTCAGTGTTCTAAAAAATTTTAAGCTTGACACTGTATGTATAAATATGTATAATCAATAACTTTCAAGAATTGAATGAATGACATAACATAGCTTTATCGAGTTTTTTATAAAGTTTTTGTTTATGTGTTTATATGTTTAAATAATGCTACGTACACTTCATTAAATGTTCACGTTTTATTCAAGGACTTATTTATGTAAGTTAACAAGAAAATTAACTACATCATTAATTATGCTCGCGTTAGTACCGGCATGCCGCGGCATCACGGTCCTTAAGCGGGTTCTTTTAATTACCCAACCCGTCCAAGTACCTCAAAAAGCTGAAATTTTTCGTGAGGTACTTAAGCGGGGTTTGCTGTATCAACAAAGTAAGAAAGCAACAATTACCGATTATTTTTTCTCTTCCAGAGGCATCCAGTATTTAGAAATCTAGTAAACACCCTAGTACTATAAAATTCCGCACCCTCTAGTACTAAAGTATTTGAGATTTAGAGCCATCTTTAAACATCTCTTAATACTTAGTAAAAGGGCTTTTGTACCCAAACACGTTCTTCAAATACAAAGTTACTCAAGTAATTCAAGAAAGCAATTTCAGTGAAATATTATTTTAAGTTTTTCATTTTTGTATAGTAACCAATTTTACGAGAACGAAACATATTTTTGTTTGAATTTTAGGGCTGTCTGCAGCCCTCAAGAAAAACGAAAAATTCATATAAAAGAAATGGAAAAGAAATTTTATTCTACCAAAATTTCTTAAATCAGTATGCAGCTCTCAAGGAAATAAGTTAATAATAAAAAAATATGTTTTTTAAACAAGCTTCCTAAGTATGAACCAAATCGGACTATAAATACGGTAGAGATACGATATCGAAACTAAAGTACCGATATATATAGTTCTAATTTAAAGCATCGCTGTAAAACTATCGGGTACCCATTAATATTGGGACAAAAATACTAGATATCCCAAATACCGATACTAAATTCAAATAATTACATCTAAGCATTGGTCTCATTTTCTAATAAACAATGAACACTTTGCGCTTTAATAAGTGTTTGCTTATACACAAGTAATTGTATTGTTTGACATCACCGAAGCCGCGGTTTAAAGTACCGCCACATGCAAACCTAAGATAGTATACATTTCTGCTCTTTAAACTTTAAAGTTTAAAGCACATACATATAAATTCCAAAGTAAGGACATGCATACATATCGTTAGCTTAATATAGAAAGGCCCTAACTAATTTAATTTCGAAATCCAGCTTTGTAGAAAAGGCATCAGATCTATAAAAATTAAAAATAATGTTTGCGATATTAAATGACATACATCCTTTAATACAAAATAGCGTTTGAAAGAAGTTCGCAAATTAATAACTTTACTATATTCGATTTAAAGATTATTATCCGAAGTAATAATGCTAGATAGGGCCTTTCTATATTAAGGTAACGACTCCTGCACCACCTATCGAAAAATTTTTTTTATGGAGTTATTCCTTTTCATGTAAGTAATTTAAAATTTTTAAGACTAAAGTTTTCAAAAGCACAATAATACCATAATGGCTTTATTTCCATTGTCAGTTAAAATTAAGGCCATCTCGAAAATATGGTTTTATTTCCAGTCACAGAACGAAAAAAAGATATTAAAGTCTTACTGCATATGGCGTTTTTGGAGCCGACCTAATAATTGGCGATTACGGCAGCAAATATCGATAAGTACCCGGGAGCATATCGGCGAAGCGGGCGAGCTTGCAGCGAAGATTAAATATGTATATTCATAAGTATGTATTGAACCCGTGAATGGTTTTAATTCCATAGACTTAGACATACATATGTAAAAGCGTATCTTTTGTGCGGAACTCGCTTTTATAACACGTATGTATTACATATGTACGAAAATATAGATAATTTATATTTATATACATACTTATGTAGTTCATATTTATTACATACTCAAATGAAGATAATAAAAGAAAAATTTAAAAATAAAAACACAATATCAATGTGAAAATAATTGGAACTTGTCAACTCACCCTGCGCCGCGTTTCGTAATCAAGGGCACCCGCAACATAAATGGCACCAGTCATATTCTTAACCGCAAAAGCGCCACCAATGTTACCACTTGTAATTTCGTAACGTATACGCGATGCTGTACCCCATATTAGAAAAATGCCAGTATTATCAACAGCGGAGATAACAGTTGAAATGAATATTGTTGGTGATGTTGGTGTTTGATGTTGACATTTTTAATTTCATTTGATATTTTAATACACAGTGACAGTGAACGCGTAAGTTCACCAATAAGACATCAAACAAAGCCATGCATACATAGGTATATATGAATTTCGTTGATGTAATGGTTGCAGTGGATGTTACATTACAATGAGCATCAGCAACAACACCAGTACCAGCATATCGCGGAGCAGCGAAGTGTAATTTCAATTTAAAAGAAGAAGGGGAAAAGAGATAATAATTTTTGGATAGTAACGAGTATTTTACTTTTGATACTTCTTCGGCTTTAATATTTTTTACTTGCTTCAGTGTATGTATGTATATGAGTGTATGTATGTATAAGAGAGATGTAACGGATATTTGGTAGCTGTTCGGTTTTCAGGATATCCGGCCTAAGTTTACCTTTCGATCGAATATTGAGTTAGTATCCGGTATCCGGCCGGCCGGATAGGGTCTTAAACCTATTTTAGTAAAAGAATCTTTGTTAAACTTAAAAAAAAAAAATGTTCTGTTATTGAAATTATTCAAATTAATCCTCAAAATATATTCATCAGCTATGCTGCAAGAACGGAAACAATAACTTTTTGAAATCGGCTGACTGTAGAAAAAGGCAAATAGAATTAATCATGTGAAAATACGGGGCTAGGTAAATATTGGCCAGCTTTGACAAAGTTTGGCCTTGAGTTGTTTTAACGCAATAGTGAAAGCTTCTTTTAAAGGAAACTGTAAAAATCAACAGCTTTAGCGAAAACCCAAATTAAATTTTATTTTGCTGAGCCAGATGGGCATGGGTTGGTCTTTAGAAATATATTTATTTTGGCGACTTGTTATCCGGCCGCACTATATTCGGCCAAATCACTATCCGTTACATCTCTAATGTATAACTACTTAGGTTTGTACTTACATTCGTCGTGATCCTTGGCCGTGACGGTCAGCACAGTATGTTGGATATCTTCGTTTTCGTCCACTTCTGCTTCATAAAGCGACTTATCGAAGTAGGGCGGATTGTCGTTTTTATCGGCAATGCCAATGCGTATAAATTTTGTCACTATAAGTATGAACGAATAAGAATAAAGAGAGAAGATAATGAGCACTTGTGGTAAAATGATATGTGGTGGGAACTATAGAATTATTTAGCATACACTTGTGTAAATAAGTTCTTGGCGGCTGCGACAGGTTCCGGGAATCGCATTTGTATGTATGTATATTTATATGTATTTATATTTTATATGATGTGGCATAAATTAAAGTTTTGTTTATGGCCATAGAGATGTATACATAAATATACATATCTATGAAGAGAAAAACAGGGTTACCATTATCATGTGTATTAGTATGTTCACTGTAGTTTCATGATATTCATATTGGCTGGGTGGAATAAATACTTTAGCTGTGTTTGACGGGAATTTAAGAAGTTTTTGATACGTTGCTATCATTACGCTGAGGGGAAAATGTCGACCTATAAAAAAGATCAAACTAACTTGATTTAAGTATAGATATGGGTCTAAATATTTCATTCTTTAAATAAAAATTTCGTACTCAAATCAAATATGATGCTGCCTTATTATGAGTACGAGTATTTTATTTTAAGAAACATTATAAAGAAAAAGGTCGGGTTAGTTATAACAACCTTTCATACTTCGACTTAGAATGTTATGCAGCGTTTTTGCTGCATTTAAAATTCAACATTTAGCACTTTCGAACATATGTTTTCGAAGAGCGTGCATGCTATCGCATTTAGCAAATGTACATTTACGGGAGTTCGAAATCGCATGCTTTTGACGTGTTTCAGTCGCTTATTCAGATCCGTATCTATTACGATCAATTCCCACGCAGAAGATAATGTGCAAAAACCCCTAATGAAAAGGAAAAAATAAATTTTAACCCAAAAATTCAATACAAAAACGTGAATTGATTTAACCAAAACCGAACATTTATTTGTGTATATATTCATTTGTCGGTGCTGTCAATTAAAATTCCCTCACTTAATTAGGAAACAAAACCAACAGGGTGGATCACAAATTGATCCAGATTTCTATCAGCATCATAACGATGTTGAATTTGCGTAACTTTTCTTTATCCAAATAATGTAAAATAATAAATGAAATCTCGATCGGCGATCACTGAAACGCAGCTAGCCACTGTATATGCGAAAGAGCAATGTTGTCACTTTTTCTCATTAAACCATGTTCGAATCGTGGAAATTAGGGAAGATCACAGGCTTGCTTTTAGCATTTAGATTCTTAATGCAAAAATGGAGTTGCATTTAGGCGACGAATTTAGTACATGTACATTTAGAACTAAATGCGCTAAATGTACTTTTACGCGTAAGCAAAAACAGCCCATTGTATGTGAACAATATTTTCACAAAAAGACGCTTGAAAAAATGTATGATATATACTTAATTTTTTAAGTTTGCATGATCTTAATTCCAGTATTTAGTACTCAAAAATATCGTACTTAATATAAGATTTGTGTTTTCTATTTTATTATTTTCAATCTTAGTCCGATTTTAAGTTCGGAAATGCTAAGATCGAGTACGAAAAACTTGATTCCTTCTCTGAGTATAGGGATTTCATATGCGAAGCTTTTTAAGGTGATCAGTTTCCATCGAATGTGTCCTCAAGTTTTAAAAATGTCTCTAGCCATGACCCTCAATTAAATAATAAAAATGCCAAAAACAAGTAAACCATTTTGTTCCTTTTCTTCAAAATTTATATGGCAATATTTAATCCCAATGAACTTCAGAATCTTTAAATTCCAGATGTAAGTCTTAAGTGGGCTATTTAAAAAAAAAATTAATTTTTAATATACCGCGTTCCTATACATACACTAATAGCCCAGTTATGCATACTTCGCACTGCTATACCATTTTTACTTAAAATTCAAAACCCAGCAGACTTCTACATGTGAAGTGCTATGCGTTGGCTAACTGCTTACACGCAAAAGTCGTTTAACAGATTCCTTATGTGACAACTCTCATGCTACGCCAAGTATGCATAACTGAGCTATAAAGGTAATAGCCCAATGCAGGCTTTCTTTGCTTGCTTCGCTTTGAGAACTGTCAAGAATTATTTGGAATATGTATAATAAAACGTATGAAGGCTGGCCATATGGCAGTTTTCCTTCAATTGCTTTAAGCGCCTCAAAGTTTAAAGTAAGCAAATTTTTTATTTGAAAGTGTTTTGTAGGCTTTTTACAAAGAGGTATGTTCCCGTTCTAATAACTTGAAACAAACTGTCTAAACAAAAATTTGCGTACTTAATTTAAAAAAATGCTATTAATTCCAAATTATATAAAAATGGTCAGTTTTTTCCATATTATGTTTAACATTGCTTAGGGTAAAATGTTGCTAAGTCCACCTTTACTTCTTATAGCCTTTTTCTTCAAGTAAATCGTTTTTTTAGTGTTTTTTAGAAAATGTACATATCTGTAAGTATCTTTATTACAATTTCTTTGAAATGCGAACATTACTTCGCATTAATTTAAAAACAAATGATTGAGCTGTAATATTTAAATTTTTGTATCAACTTTTTGGAGTTTTCTAGGAAAACAATTATTAATGTTAAGGGAACAGACTTGACTTTTCAGCCACACAGCTGGTTACTTTGACGGGGGTGGGTCGCATGTAGTAAACTTGAATTTATATGAGAAGTGTTAAATACCCAATCCCACTCCCAATCTCTTAAAATTGCCTTTTACTTTTATATAAAACTATACACTCGGAGGTTTGCCATTGCCTGCCGAGGTGCGACCGCTATTAGAAAAAAACTTTTTTATACCCAATTGCACTTATGCACAAGGGCATAATAACTTTGTTCACATAACGGTTGTTTGCAAAAGCCAAAGCTAATTTAATCAAAATTTAGTTTGCAATAAGTCTTTAGCAGAAAATATGTTTATGATACAATTTTGGAAAATGGGCGTGGCACTGCCCACTTATGACCACATATGTGTATCTCGGTAACCGGTTGACCAATTTGTAACAAACTACTATGGTACGATTATTGCACTTATCAGATAAAAGCAAAACATTGAAAATTATTGAAATCGGACTCAAATTACGCCCACTTTTCATATGTATAATGGTAAATTTCAGAAATGCTTGACACTTCGATATTTCGAAATTTAAGAACGCTAATTTGCTCAAAATTGATACTACCCAGTCCCTCGGAAAGAAGCAACATTATTATGGAATTTTGGAAAATGGGCGTTATACCGCCCACATATAACTAGATAAGTTTATCTCATTATGTTTAACTGAACGTCCTATCGAAGATATTTGAAATAGGGGTAAAACCACCCCTGCTTACCATGTAGCTGTAGTTTTCGGAAAGGTGAAACTATATTAAATATTTAATATTTAATACTTGCTCCGCCCGAACTGAGACATTTTACTTGTTGTTTTTTGTTTTTGATGTTGGTCGGGCTCCAACCCAGGCCCCCCGGAATCGTACTGCGCACTGCTAACCACTACACCACAGCGGCCGACGATGAAAACTACTCATACAAATTTAAAAAAATATATATAAAAAGCGTAATGAAAACATTACAATATCACATGGAAGCTGTTTAAAAATCCTCAATGAAACTTAAAATTGTTGCCACCATTCCATAAATAATTTCATTTGGTGTCGTCACAGCATACTACGTATATTGCGAGGAAAGAAACTTTAGGGCGTCGCTACCTAACCTTTGAAGTCTTCCTTAAATGTAGGTATACAATACTAAGAAATGGCAGCTGAAAGCAAAATTCTTTACCCGGTAGTAAAATGCGCCTTACAGTTGCACTTAGCTCTGCCGTGTGGTACACTTGCATAATTGAAAGGTCGTTTAGCACACTAAGAAGGGTAAAAACTTGGCTGCGCTCAACAATGAGTGAAACTCGACTTAACGGTAATCATCTACATATATAGAATTGCTCAGTCATACGATTTAGTTAGGGCGATCTGTAGCAGCTACTGAATTAAGTTATATGTATATCAAATTAAAGTGCAAGCTGCAGTTGGAGTTGACCGTGTTTGTCACAAAAGTAAAAAGTGACAGAAAACTCGATAGTGGGCATATAATCTATTGAAAAATATTAACGAATTTTGCGTGGAATTGAGGTTCGAAAAGGTGTCAGGTATTATTCATACTTTTGAACTATATTTCAGGAAAGCAAAAAAAAAAATAGTTGAGATCACTTCCGTTTTTAAACACGGAAAAGCTCAAAGCTTTAAGTTGTTTGTTTATTATCAGGAAATGACTTTTATTTCAAACTTAAAAATATTTGGCTTAGGTGATGTAAAAAAAAAATTAACTTTCGGTCCCGGTGTGGAAGGAAAACAAGACCTCGATGAACTTTGCATGCGAACGACGTTCGTTATTTACTTATTTCAAAATCACAACTTTGAGTCGTCAAGAAACTATTGGGCTAATTCCACCCACAAATTTTGTAATGCACATCAAACAACAGAACTGGGTTCTGACAAAATGTTTGTAAAAACACAAAAAACAAGAAGCAATTTAAACAGGTCAAATGGTGAGCTTCAATGTTTCATCTCGAAATACTTTTACGGAATTGCCAATTGCTACTGATGCTGGCGGTAAAGTACTGTTGCATATTGCTAATGACAGTTACCACAAGTCGACAAACAGGCAGTGCGTAAGTAACCAATCATGCCAAGCAAGAAAGTGAATTATGAGTTCTGCGATATACATACATATTTCATATATTGTAATGATTGCTGAGATAACTGAGCAGTGGAAAGGCACCGAACAACGCAACGGTAGTGGTGCCTCCGATATGTTGGCCTCCAAGGGAATTTGTACATTGGCCATACTTACATATTTTATTTACACTACCAACTATGTTCATATGTACATATACATATGTATATCCGTACAGTTGACTTGTTTATTATTTTCTTAACTATTAAAATATCACTTTGTCGCTGTTGTAGACATACAACATGGTGTTGGTGGAGCTGCAGTTGTACAATTAAACGTTTGTTGGATAATATAAGAGAGGCAGATGTTGAAACATCAAGCAAGTAATATGTACAGACAAACTGCCAGCACACTGTAGCTACGATTAAAAGTAAATAAATTGGAATTGTTATATGCACATACCCAAATACATATGTAAATGCAAATGGAAGTTAAAGCCGAAGTTTGTGCTCTTTAGAATTGTGAATGTGCTTGTTGCAATTGCTTTTGCTGTATTTGAATTGGTTTTAGCTACTATAAGACTTTAAGCAAATTATACTCAACACATAGATAGTTTACAATCAATATTTGCATACATTTCGATGTGTGTGTGCATCGACAAAAGGGACAGCTTCATTTGAGAAGTTCATACATACCTTTAACTATTACCCAATTTGTCAAACGACTTCGATACGAAGTCGTTTCCGACTCGTTCTGGTGAACATTTTGTTCGCAGGCGACGTTCGCCACGCCGTCGATTCGAACTCGTCCTCGCTGTGTGACAAATTGAGTATACATTGATGATCGCTGACTGGTCCATATTCTAAACATATACGGGCGAGCCAAAAATTCAAATTCTTGGATTTTTGTTGAAGTGAAACTTCTTACACGAGAGCGGAGATGGTTGCGTTAAATACTTAACACCAAGTCATAAAATCTGTATCGT